ACGATTTTCTCCTTTTTTGGTTTTCAAAACGTCTTTGCGGTTTTTGGGGTTTTCAAAACGCTTTGCAAATTTTTTGGGTTTTCAAAACTGCCGTTTTGTTGGGCGGGTTAGGCCACAAGCAAAAAAGAAGCGGGAAAGGAAGAATGAAAAGAAGACTAATCATTTAATCGCGCTGGCCAATGAACCCGCCTACCTGACCTAGTCGATTTGGACGTTCGGTCGGAGGCGTTGTCGATCCAGCAGGTTTGTCGAATGAGGAAGCATTCGGCTCGATAGTATCGAAAGTAACTGAGTGGGATGGGTTAGTCGGAGAATGCTTCGTCGCATCGGAAGTAGGCGTGTCGTCGATCATAAGCTGCGTTGACTCGTCCGAAGGTGGAAGGGAGTCATCGTCGATCTCAGGTTCCACATGGACAACCTTGAGACGGTCGATAGAGAGAGTTTCACGTTTACCATGGCGGTCGATAACGAATACGCGGTCCTTACGTTTAAGAGCCTTAAATGGACTTTCGTAGGGTCGTTCGAGTGATCTGCGTAGACCATAGACTCGAAGGAAAACGTAAGCGCAATGCAGTAGATCTTGTGGAACGAACGATTTACGTCGTTGTTCTCGCACGTCGGTTACTTTGATATGGCGCATGCTCGTGGCTAACTGCCGAGCGTAATTCGCGTCGTAGCGGGGTGTTCTGGGGTTTCCAGAAAAGAAGTCCCCAGGTAGTCGAAGGGGTTGTCCATATACCAGTTCGGCGCTGGACGTGTGCAAATCAGCTTTAAGAGCTGATCGGATACCAAGTAGTATCATAGGCAGTGCTTCGGTCCAGCTTAGTGCATTAGCGGCACTAAGTGAGACCTTCAGCTGTCGGTGGAAACGTTCCACGACGCCGTTGGATTGCGGGTGATAGGCGGTAGTCCGGATGCGCTGACATCCGAGGACTTTGAGAAGATCGTTGAAGGTCGAGGCTTCGAACTGCGGACCGCGGTCGGTAGTCACTGTGGCTGGACAGCCATGTGAAGCGACCCAGCGCTCAACGAAAGCGCGCGTTACGGTGTCCGCAGATACGTCGGGTATAGGTACGGCTTCGGGCCAACGGGTGTATCGGTCGATCATGGTCAGAATGTAGACCATTCCTCTGGATGATGCCAGGGGTCCAACTATGTCGAGGTGGACATGGGCGAAGCGAGCTGAGACTTGCGGAAAACGACCAAGCGGGGCGGACACGTGCCGCTGTATCTTGGCCTGTTGACACGTTAGACAACCGCGTGCCCAGCGCTTAAGATCGCGTTGCATTCCGGGCCAAACGTATCTCTCGGATATGAGCTTGATCGTGGCTCGGATGCCTGGATGAGCGATGTTATGAAGTGTGTCGAAAACTAGACGTCGAAAGGTTTCTGGAACGACGGGTCGAGGTCGTCCAGTAGAAGTATCGCACAAGATTGTGCCAGCAGATGACGGCAGTGGATGCGGTGTGATTCGTAGCGAAGAAGCTTGTTTGACGTTCTGACAGTCGGTGTCGTTTAGTTGCGCGGTAGCCATAACAGATAAGTCGATTGCCTGGCCAGCGGTGTGGATTGCGGAGACGCGCGAAAGAGCGTCAGCAACGACGTTATTCTGACCTGAAATGTGTCGGAGGTCAGTAGAAAATTGAGCCACGAAATCCAGCTGACGAACCTCACGTGGTGAGTGTCGAGCTGATTGATTTCGAAAGGCGTAAATAAGCGGCTTATGATCGGTGAAGATAACGAACGAACTACCTTCTGAGACGTGCCTGAAATGTCGAACGGTAGAATAAACTGCATGCAGTTCGCGGCTGAACGTGCTGTACTTGGCTTCTGCCGGTTGTAAGCGTCGGGAGTAGAAAGCGAGTGGCTTCCAGCATCCCTCAGTGAATTGCTGCAGGACGGCTCCAATGGCGGTGTCCGATGCATCGACTGCAACGCTGAGTGGAGCTTTGGGGTCGAAATGGTGAAGCATAACGGCTTCAGCCAAGGCCTCTTTGCAGGCCTTGAAGGCTTCGGTTGCAGCGGGCGTCAACTCGACGTTGCCGCTCTGGCGTCCACGAAGTAGGTCGGTCAATGGACTGAGCAAGTCGGCACAACGTGGCAGAAATCGGCGGTAGTAGTTAACCATCCCACTAAAACGGCGGATGGCGGCCAAAGTAATCGGAACGGGAAAGTCCTTAATAGCGCTGACTCGGTCTTCGAGCGGCCGTATGCCATGCTGGTCAATTCGATAACCAAGAAATTCGATAGATGGTTGCTGAAAGATGCATTTGTCAGCGTTGACAGTAATGCTATTAGAAGCTAACCTCTCAAAAAGCATTTTGAGGTGCTTCGCGTGCTGTTCTTCGGAAGAACCAGCTACTAAGATGTCGTCTATATAAGGCTAAACAAACTCGAGACCTCTGGTGACAGAGTCTATGAAGCGTTGAAAATTTTGAGCTGCGTTACGAAGACCGAAGGGCATTCGCAAGAATTCGAAAAGTCCGAAAGGCGTGATGACTGCGGTTTTCGGAATGTCATCCTCGGCTACAGGGATCTGGTGGTAAGCGCGAACCAGATCGATCTTCGAGAACACACGGGCGCCACGTAGGCTAGCCGTGATGTCGTGAATGTGCGGAATCGGATAGCGGTCGGGGACGGAAGCGTTATTAAGAGCGCGATAGTCGCCACATGGACGCCAGTCTCCTGACTTTTTAGGCACCATGTGTAGAGGCGACGCCCACGGGCTCTTAGACGGGCGAATAATGCCTAGGTCTAGCATGTGCTCGAATTCGGAGCGTGCAATTTTGAGCTTGTCGGTGGTCATGCGCCTGGCTTTTGCGAACACAGACGGACCTTTCGTAACGATATGATGTGTCGCGGCGTCGGTTGCGGAAGGCAACGGGACGACAGGACGGAAGACCTGCGGAAAACTATCGAGCAGCGTTTGCCCGACGAGTGAACAAAGTAGAGTCGCGTACACGGGACTGATTGACGCGGTGTCGGTCAAAGTCCCAATGACTGCGAGATTCGTAAGGCGGTCGACTAGACGGTGTCGCTTAACATCGACGAGTAGGTCGTAATGACGTAGGAAGTCGAGACCAAGGATAGGCGTTTGAACATCGGCAACGAGGAATATCCATTTGAAAGCGCGTCGGAGTCTGAGATTTAGCGTGCGCGAGCGTTACCCATATACGCGCATAATGGTTCCGTTAGCTGCGCGCAATGAACTAGTCACCTTTTCGGTCGGGTCATTTGGATCAAGCGGGAGAACGCTGACTTCTGCGCCAGTATAGACGAGATAGCGAACTCCGGTTCTACGATCGGTGACGAAGAAAAGGCGACTGCGTTGACCAGCTACGTCCGTCGCCCCTACGTGCTGGTCCGCCCGTTTCCCTGATGTTGTCGTTTGAACGAACAGGGCGGGCGACATGATTTAGCTTGCTGGCCGAAGCGTTCGTGGTACCAGCAGTAACCGTTTCTATTCGGTGATCGCGAAGGAGACTTCGAACGTGAACGCGAACGGCTCCTAGAGCAGTTACAGCGGTTATGTCTGGAGGCCGAAAAGTCTGCGAATTGTCGAGTCAGTGTTGCCATCTGGGATTTAAGCGTGGCGATATCGTTGTCTGGTTTTGTCTGGACCTGCGAAACCTGGCCGTACGACTCCCAAATTCGGTCGGCTGTATCGGCCAGTTTGGACAAAGGTGTATCCTCACTAGCGCAGAGGATGTGTAGCATCTCGCGCGGAAGTCGTTGCAACCACATTTCCCGAAGAAAAGAATCATCTATCGAAGTGGGTTTAGCTAGGCTCTGCATTTTTCGAAGCAGCTGGGAAGGCTTAAGATCGCCAAGATCGGTTTCGTTGAGGAGTTTCGTAACTCGTTGTCGATCGGATAAGCCTGTTCTTCTCAGAACAGCTGTCTTGACTGCATCGTAAGTCTTTTGGTCATCAGGAAGATCTAGAATGTCATCAATGTCCTCGATGACATTTAGCGGAAGCGCGGAAACGACAAGGTGGAACTTGGTCTTTTCGGACCTAATACCACGCAAAGAAAATTGTGACTCTAGCTGACCAAACCAAGACTTAGGATTAGTCTCGCGAAAAGGTGCGATAGGAAGCGTAAATGTGCCGATCTGAACGTCAGAATCTACGCTATCAGTTGCCATAGCGAGCAAAATAGCGAGCCAGCGAGATTAAACCGAAAAATGAAAAGTGAAAATCAGACGGGTTAGCGAAAAAATGTGGCCAAATCTGAAAAGAAAGGTTAGCGAAAACTCACCGGATAATGACCAAAATTCGGGGTCACCAATAAAGCGCGAAGCGGGATCGGTACGCTTTAAAACCAATACGCGAAAATAAGGCCAACCTCCGATGAGTGGAGAACAGCAAAAGTAACGCTAGGAAAAAGTTATTAAGTGGGCGAAAGGCTATCTAGTGCTAAAAATAAGGCATCGAAAGATAGCTAGCTAGGGAAAGGTGTGGTCGCGTGCGCGGAGAGCAAAGATGGCCGCGGAGCCGAGGAGCGTCGCGCCTTTCGAAGGCGGATGCTATCTGACTCGAACGAACGCGAGCAACGTTCAAACAGGCGAGCGGCTAGTTTGCTATGTACATCGAGTAAATATAATTTTGTGATTTTGTAATATTTTACGCAGCATGCGGCAGCCAAACAGGGGAATCTCTAGGTCATTACAAGCTTACCCAAACGAAACGATCGCATATGGCTACTTTTCCTCACACTAGTTAGCTAATACCGTGATGCAGCGAGTTAACAAAAGTGGGGCGCGCGGTAAAATCCCAGCATTCCGACCCATTTGAAACTGAATTTGCATAACTCGCCCGTTGAAACCCATACACGATGTAGGTACGGTCCTAAGATGTGCATATAAATATACACTGAAGTTTTGGATACTTTATGCAGACATGGAATTGTTTTATTAATCAATATTCTTTCCCTTGTAATTTTCCCTTTCACTTTCCCTTCTGCGTTTGAAGCATTTACAAGATACATGACCTTGAAATTGTCCTTTTCTTAATTTGTGCAAATTTTGACATTTTTCTTTGTCCTCGCACGTTTACATTTTGCATCCATAATGAAGCCGATGGGATTAGCCAGCCTTATAACTGGATTTTGGAACTATTGCTACCAAACGTTGCTTTAGATTTGCTACTTCGTAAGTCGTCGTTTTCCTTGCAATCTTAGATTCACATTTGTTCAAATTTTACTTGTAATCGTAGAGCACTTGTATAAGTTTTATTTCCCACGCACTGTACATCAGTTTTTATTTATCTTAGGAGGTTTATTAAACCTGTATTAACCTCTTTTTGGCAAGCATATGATTGCGTGTTTGTATTTTTGACCACGACTACTAAATGTCATGCAGTTGCCCTTTTTACTTTCATCCATGCCATACAGAACAGTGGTATTTTATGAGCACGCATGGTTTATTTGTAAATGGTACTTTTACAGTGGTACCGAATCTGGTTGTCCGATATGTATGCGGCTGGCGGTCTCTGTGTGTCTACTTTTAGAAGGATCTTGCTCACTATTAAATACTTTTGAGCCTTTTGTTCGCACACGCTGTGAACGCATATTTCTCGTCGCAAACATCCTTCACACGTCATAATTCGATGTCAAGTGCGTCATATCAGTCCATTGTATCTAATGCTGTACTCAAAACTTTTACAAGTAGATGATTTGTGCCCGGAGTTAACCAGATTCATTAGAAGCTGTCACTCAGCGGCAGCTCGTCGGTTTCCCGTGTTAACTGTGTAAGTGCCAAGTTGTAAACAAACGAATCATGTCAAGGCTGGTAATTCTAAAAATACGCTAGACTATACCATACCACATCTTAAACACGGTAGAAGATTTATCCGTTGTTTTCGTCATATTTCTGCGCGTGAACGTTAGCTTACCGAAACGGTATAGCTGGCCGTTCATTTATGCATGCTGCTTTCAGCACTTTAATATAGCTTTTTATATTCCAATGGTTGCAGCAGCTTCTGTGTCCTTTATTAATATAAGAACTATCCGCGTCTACCATTTAGAGTTAATTCAATCCTTATGCATTTCTGTGGCAATATTATAAGTCATAAGTACATCGACTAGTGGCGTTTTGTCGCTGCCTAACTTTTATCACATTTTGGAATTACGGTTGGAGGAGTTTCTTTGCCAAGGTAAGCACTACCATCAGTGTGGCATTCAGGCGCTGATTTTCATAGTCGTATGAATTATTCCGCATCCAAACAATTTTTTATCGCACTGTTTTGAATGTCAACCTTAATAAATTCACTTACTTTGCACAAGCAACCACCTTCGCATAATTGATCTGCCTCAGTTTACTGACTCGGTCTGTAGTTATTCATAGACATTCACTAGTTCCCAGTGTTAAGTGCCTGAGTTGTAACCCAATAGCTACGTCACGATAAATTCATGCTATTTATAACTGTTCTTCCAATTATCTTAATATTATCCTGGTCATATTAGTGATCAACTATGTCCATATGCACTGATATTTGTGATTTAAATAAATAAACAAACATTTTATTTCTTGACATTACGAGACACAATCCAGCAGAGTTGATTGATCAGTTTGTACATCGAGGTCGTATAAAATAGTTGCTTGCTTGGTTTTTACAGCTGGTCTCATATTGGTTACTGTGGTGAATAGCAGTTAGAAACTATTAGAGTGTGTAAGGAACTGGAAACAGTAACGAATGCAGCTTTAGTTGAATGTTCAAGTCGAGTAATACAGCCATCTATGGTACCAACCTCAAGGGACCTACTTTCACGCGGATTATTCCCTCGATGGGTTGCACCCGCACTTTCATCCTCCAACCCGCTGTGTGCCGGTGAGGCAACAAAGCCTGTATGCCATCACACGTTTCCCAAGTGTTACTTTAAGGGCTGTTTTATGCGTGAATTAGGGCGATAATGCCCCGGCTCGACCCTTCATGTGACCCATTCAAATATGGCACTTTTTTGTTATGTTCCGGCAAGTCAGTGGCAGTATGCTTTGCATGGGTCTAATTTTTTATCGTGGCAAAGGTAACCCGTCATTTCAAGAGCTCATTTCACTCGTGGCTAACATTAACTTAATGAAAAATATAAGGTAATAGGAAATAAAATAAATAATAATGTTTACAATCCGTTGCTAATAGGCCAAGCAACATGCAGTGCAAAATCATGGCGAAAAACGATGACTGTGCAGACTTCAGATTGAAAATCGTAGTTTATATCCGAAGCAGTGTCCCAAAGGAGAGGTAAGCGGTATTTGTTGGCCGGGAGTGCAGCAGTGATAGGAATAAAATGAACTATAATTAAATGCTAAGGAGTTCATCCATGCAGGACAAAATTATAATTTTGAAACAATTGGGGGATATTACAACTTTTAAGTCTATCCGGGACCTTACTCATACAAACCATACAGGATTATTTTTGGCTAACTGTTGGTAAGCTGTTGGAAACAATCAGGTAGGCAGTGCACATCCGCTTGAATTGCAGATAGTTAGAGCATTTGCTGATATCCGATGGAAGTTTATTTCATATCAAAGCTTTTATTACTGAGAAAATTTCAGTGGAGCTTGGTACGGGACTTTTGAATATGCAGTGTGCTCTCGCTGTTTCTTATGACATAGCGCTTGGGAGCCTGACACTCAAATTGTGACCGAAATATAAAGGTTGAGCAGAATATTAATCCTTAGAGCATGCACAGCTCAAGTTTGAGTCTGCGCAGCCATAGCGGTTGCAGTTCCAGCGCATCGCAACGCTCACGGTATGTTACAAGGGTAGGCATGTTCAGACATCTCCTTGTGAATGATCGTTGCATATTTCCCAGTGCTATAGCATCCACCTTTTTTAGACCTCCGTCTACAAGTGTACAATATTCATTACCTAATCATGATAGCAGTTGACCAGCTCACCTTCTTGTTGTTATGTGCTAAATTCTGTGCTGTTTGGCCTACGTAGTGTTATGGTTTTAAGAAAGTGGTTGAGAATCACAACTGGCGTTTCTGTTTAGTCTCAGTTTACCTACATTTTAAAATATTGGTTCTGAATCGTCTTATTTGTTTGGCATGCAATGCATATCGAGAGCGGCATCAAAGTCTGGTTATCTCCGATATTTCAGTGGTAAAATGCAGGGTTGTTGCTTATCTATTTTTGTTGTGGATTTCAATTTTGTGGCTTCTCTTGCGTTACGTAGCGTAGTATTAAACTTATAAGGTATGAATTTCAATTAAAGATGCTAAATAAGTACTTTGTTCCGTTTTCCTCATTTTTGGTGTGCTCAGCATATCAGTGCACTTGTGGATGACCGGTTGACTGCTGTGACAGGTACAGGTGTGCTGGCTTTGCGATAAACAATTTTTGTCCAATGGATGCATGTTACGTCAAGTGCAAGTTGTGTTTCCCATTGGCGAATAATATTCCAGGATAATATATTAGAAATTATTTGTTGTAGTTGCTGAAGCGTAGGCCGTTTGAGTAGGACGAAGTTGTTGTCAACGTATTATATCCATGTGTCAGCCTTGTGATGGAAACTATTGCTTGTTCAACTGTTTGCATCATTGGGTTGGGTACTATTCCAGAGTATGGCAATCCCATTAGTATGTGCGTACTCTGTTTGTGCGTTTGACTGTTAAAATTACATTGCGCGAGGAGCGAAAAATTAAGAACTTCTATCACTTTTATTTTACTTTGTCCCTCTGTTATTTTGTAGCAGCGTCATCATTATTTGATTGGCAACCTGAGCGACAGTTTATGTAAACATCTCAGTAAATTCATAGTTAACCGTATCCCATATTTTTCCACTAATTTTTTGAACCGCTGTTGTTTGGATTGGATGTTCGGTGTCCACAGACTGAATAATAAGGGGGACACTGAGCTTGCTTGCTACTGTAGCGGTTATTACTCTTTTACATTTTGTCTTTCCCGTCATCAATTTTATCATGACATCTTTTGTACAGTTTGCTTGAATTAATGAATGCACTACACTTCTTCGTGCTCCGCGTTCCGTCGTGCTGATTTTTGGCTGTTCTGCTTCTGCGTGCGTACGGTGCCGTCCAGTCTGCTTGCGAATCGGATAGTATACTCGGAATTACTATCAAACGTCTATTGCCATTGTGTTCGACGTGTGCCACAGGTATATCGCAACCTATGACTCGAACTCGACTATGATTAGACTGTGAGTTGACTCTCTCCAACTTTTTGCCTTTTACTAAGGAGTTGAAATCTTCCTAGTATTTTTCGACCACTACATAAATTGGTGACCTCGCCTTATTTTTTTTGAACACGTATGTTCCTTAGTCATGTCTGACCAGACCCCATGTGCTTTTACAGACAATTCCGTCGAACTCTCGCTTCCTACCTTTGACATTTCTAACCACATGTGTGGTTTATTCAGGTAGAAGCTACATTTCGATGTCGTCAGATCACCTCAAAATCTTCCATGTTCTCCTAGTCGTCTAGCGCTTACCTGTCTCCATTGCATCTGAAGTCATTGATATCCTTGATCCCATGCCTGTAGAAGCGCCGTATGATAAATTTAAAGCAGCTATCCTTAAACGCACCACTGCGTCTGATGAGGCTCGTCTGCAACAGTTACTTTCCGGCGTCGAGCTTGGCGATTGTACCCCATCTCAGCTTTTGAGACACATGCGTTCCCTAGTTAGTTCGTCGAAACTCGACGATTCCATACTCCGCCAACTTTGGACCAAATGTCTTCCGGCAAACATCACAGCGATATTATCAGTTCTTAGCGACGATATTACGCTGGAAAAACTCGCAGAAGCTGCGGACAAAACGCACGAATGTTTCTTTAAGAATACTTTTAATCACGGAGCTGAGTCCACCACAGCCAGCTCATCTCACAACACTACGCTTGATCTGATCAACGATAGAATCTCCCGTCTAGAACTCAGCATGTCTGCTATTCGACGTGAACGCACTCCTAATCGAAGAAGTCCACGTGGTCCGCGCCGCAGCACATCACGCTCACGTCAGCTGTCGTACTGCTACTTCCACCGTGGTTTCGGTAAAACAGCACGTAACTGTCGCCCGGGATGCAAATATCCGAAAGGAACTCCGACTTCGCAACCAGGAAACGCCAAAGCCAGTCAGTAATCGCGACGGCTGTCGCTGACCAAATACCCAGTCGCCTTCTGTACGTGTTCG